CTCCCAGACCCCCTGGATGATTTGGTCCCCCCCAATGTTGACTCCATGGCTACGGCCTTGGTGTACTATATTAACTGCACGTGTAGTAAATGTTGTGTTGGGCAAACAGGCCGAATGATCAGCACGAGACTAAAAGAACATCAGAGATATATTAAATCCTCCCAAATACAACTGTCAGCAGTAGCAGAACACGCGTGCCAACAAAGACACTCAATTGATTTTAAAAATGTTGAAGTTCTGTTTAAAACTAGCTACTACTGGCCAAGACTATTTAGAGAATCTATCGAAATTGAAAGAAATAAAAATAATTTTAACCATTTGGATATATACCGTCCTTAGTGCTGCATGGAAGCGAATCATCAAATAATACATTGTTTAAATGCATGCCGATGAAGGGCACCATACTTCAATAGGGAATACCTTGGTATGGCTATTTTAATCGACACAATGGACAGGAAGGACAAGATCAAAGGGCTCGCATAATGCGCATGCATAATATACGTCGACTCATTAATGTGTAGATGTGGTGACCACACTCATTAATGTGTAGATGTGGTGACCACACTCATTAATGTGTAGATGTGGTGACCACACTCATTAATGTGTAGATGTGGTGACCACACTCATTAATGTGTAGATGTGGTGACCACACTCATTAATGTGTAGATGTGGTGACCACACTTCTGCCCTCTATATAAGGAACGAAACAGGTGGACTTCTCCACAAATCTGGCTGTCGCCTGATGAAGCTAGTTGTAATTACTGACGAAACGTCGTACTCAGTTTGTAAATGTTGTTGGCTTGGCTCTCCAACACACCGGTGTGCTGTACTAGTGACGAATTGGCCACGTTCTGTTTACGTGACAAACCTTACTAGTTGGCCGTGTCGGGTGGTGGCGGGTTTTTACGACACATTTCTATATTTACGCGATCTAACCCCAAAAAAACCCCTCTATGATGGTCATAATAATGTCAGAAGCATTTACAGCCTGAGTACATAAGAGCCTGCCACCCGTGCAAGGTAGTGCACCACAACACCATTAACCTGAGTAAACAATTTCAACACCCAAACAAAACACATGACCCTTTTATGACACGGGCAACGCATATATGGAAGTTTCCTATTTGTATAACCACGACTGTTCACCACTACGTTCGAATTCGCACAGCAGGCCACTATTTGCCTTCTCAAAACTGTGAGCGGAAAAAAAAACCACTGGTGTCAGAAGCCGTATCTATCCTTCGCGTTTTCCATGTCCCCGGGTTTCCTACACGTACGTAAGTTTGTCATTCCCCTGCTGGACGAGAGGCTGCCCCACGACATGCAAGACATGCAGGACATGCAGGTTATTTGACCAGACTTCACCATGCCGGCCGGTGCAGGTTGGCGAATGTGGAGAGCACAGCCGTGGAAGTAAATGAAGTACGTACAGTTGTCTCACTCTCACTGCCCTCTGTTGCCCACCACGTATCTGTAACCTATATCAACCTGTTGTGCATGACAGTCACACATCCAAGTGGTTTTCTCTTCATTACGGATATTTTAACACTCCCCCCCCCCAAAAAAAAATGTATTCAGCCCCCCTCGAGGTAGAGCCTAAAACTGTACAGTATATATAAACCAAGCCACACTTGCCGTGGTGGTGGCTTATGCCTGCAGCCCAGCTCTACTGTAGGCAGGTTTGTAGGATCACGCATAGACTTCAATGTTGCTATATGATCTGGCGATGGCAGTAGAGCAAGCGGCATAGGGAACCCGTCTGTACGGGCAAGCGAGCTTGTTGTGTGGCGATTTCTCGCGACAAGTATACCGCTTTCCACCCACGTGCAAAAACCATCAAGGGCAAACATACTCTTTGGTTCTATTGGGTAAAGTCACGTAGGTGAAAATATTGTTATTTTATTTTCACCTACGTGACTTTACCCAATATAACCAAAGAGTATGGATCCTAGCAGTCACGAAAGCTTTACATCTAGAAGGGCAAACATCCCCCCCACACACACAAGAGGCAAGGAGGAGTCTTGAGACCGGGGAGAGACTATCCTGTGTAAATAAAGGCTGTTACAGTACTCGTGATCAAGACTACTTATACAAGCTTTGGCAGCAGAGGGCAGTGCATTAAAAGCAATGGCTGCAAGGTACGCCTATGCTTTCACGCATAGTATTATTACCCCCTCCCCTTTACCAAAACCGCACTGACCAGCGTGGTGAAGTATGGTCAAACCGCTCACGACTCGCGTGACGTGACGAGGCCCTCAACAGCAGTGGATTGATATGCTTGGTTATTTCGGTAAAGTCACGTAGATAGAAAACAAAAATCAAAAAAACCCCCACGACGTTTCGATCGCAACACAAGCGGTCTTCTTCAGGTGGGGAGTGGATTGACACACGGGAGGAGGGCTGGGGGTGTGCTGTAGGTGTACACTGATATAATTTAAGACTACTGCCATCGCATTACGGGGCACAGTTCGCTAAAAAAAAACATCATCATCATCACCAGCCGCAGGCGGCGGCGCGCTCCATCCCACGGCCAAAATTCGGACGAGGGGCTGCAGGATAGCGGGGTTCCAACCCGACCACAACCCACACGGCTCACAAGCGCCTGTCTCTCCGTCTCTCTCTCGCACACACACACACACGTGCACCTCCGTGTGTACTGCTGCTGCTGGTGGTGTTTGACAGGTGAATGTGTGAACGCGCGTTCGGCGAGAGACGCCAGAAGGCTCCGACAATCGCCGACTTCGCCCAAAGGCCGCGCTCGCGCTAACCTGATCCTCGAACTGCACGACCATCATGCTCTCTGTGCTGCTGTTGCTGCTCGCCTGCCACCACCTCGCCGGAGACACCCCCTCCTCCTCCTCCTCTGCCGCGTCTCGTCGTCGTCGTCGCCGCCGCCGCCGCCCTCCCCGCCTCGTCGCCCCCTCCGTCTCCGTCTCCTCCTCGTCCTCGTCGTCGTCTTGACCGCCTTCGAGCTTCACACCGCCATGTGGGCCCCGGCAGCAATCGCGCGCGCACCATTGGCCGGTGAACTATCACGTGACGCGAAACGGTTGCCCCGCCTACCCCACCCCGGTGAGGCGCGCGTCGATTGGTGGAGGTCGATGTCGTAACGGTGACGCGGCCGGCAGCGCGTTTCTTGAGCTTCCGCGCACGTTCGGACCCCCCCCCCTCCCACACGCCTTACCAGCACGAAGGGTTTTTCTTTTGTACCACCTCTGGATTCTACAGCAAGGTTTTGAAACGCTAAATCTAAGCGGGGGGGGGGGGGGTGGTAAAAAAGAGTTTTACAAGGCTTTGGTTTTGGAATTACGTAACGATGTATTCGTGACAAAAATAATAATTAATTCCCCCGCATGCCCTTGCCATGTTTTGGCTGTAAAAGCCCTGTGCGCACAATATACTGGGGGGGGGGGTATGGGGGGGAGAGTTGTGTGCCAGGTTGATTTTCCTTGCAACTATTCAAAACGAGCCACGTTAGGTAGGGTTTGCCGGGTGCAAATCGCCTTTCACCGAAGAGCCCATGTGCTAAGCAGACAAGGCGATAGTTTTGCTTCCACGCCCAAATAAGAACCCAATATGGTAGCGATAGGAGTCAAAAACAGCACCACCAAATATTATTTATGTTTATACTATTTGGGGACGCGAAAGCAATTGCGACCAACACGCCGTTTGGCAGTTTCACAAACTGACGCTTTTTTTCCCCTCCAGTCTTGCAGAAACATACCAAGTTTACCAACGTGTCCATTGGCATATGGCAAATAACCAAGGCAATGTGATTCAGCTGCTTCATGAAGACATCGTTATAGCACTTATTGATCCGACACTTAAGGTACTATTTTTATATTCTTTGGGTCTTTCGGAAAAGCCACGTAAAATAGAACAAATAATAAAAATATCACGTGGTTTCGATCGCAACACAAGCAATCGTCATCAGGTGAAAAATATAGCGGGAGTGCTAAGGCAGGGAGTTATAAAGGTATGATGGGTGTAGTATATCGTGGAGTGTTTGCCATTTGAATCATGTTTAATCACGAAAACTGTACAATATATTCACCTTCAGTTATTAATAACCTCTAGAAAACGCCAAAATGGCAAATTCCAGCAATCTATGTCTGGAACAATAACATCACGTGCACAATGCAATTTGAGCTCAAAATGGATTAGGTCGCATTGACTTGTCATGTAGCAAAAAATCTACATTTCAGTTAAATTAACTTTAAATTTCAGCATCGGATGCCTGCAAATGTCACGAACCATGTATTGAACACAAACTGCGGTGTAAGCAAAGGTGATAAGGGGCCGCCCATAAATGACGTCACGCGATTTTGGACGATTTTTGACCCCCCCCCCCTCGTCAGACCCCCCATCAAATATGACGTCACAAAGCTGCCCCCCCCCCCAAACAATATTTCCATTTTGAAAGTAAAACGTGCTTCAAATCGCTTTAAACTATTGTCAGTATAGTGCGTATTTAATGTGGCGCTGCACTGTTGGAGTGTTGTTATAACAATTCTATATTTATTTAAAGTTGCGCATTTTGACGTGACAGTTCTCAAACCCCCCCCCCGTCACACATCGTCACAAATGTCTGACCCCCCCCCCCCCAGGTGCGTGACGTCATTTATGGACGAACCCTAATGGCAACTTGTCAATGTCCTTGCAGTCTGACAAAGACGGTTCAAAATTACTGCAACTCCACACGACTCGTCCACCTTGTTTTCAAGACTATGCTTTCATCTGGCTGGCTTCAGTGTTCTTTAGGTTATTAAAATTTGAATGCACCATCTGAGCGTTTTTATTATGACTACATTATCTACTTATGGGTAACCCTTAGTTGCAGCTGTTGGAATTGATGGTTAAATGTATAAAAGCCATTCTTTTATTTTGAACACATCCTACTTGGACATAGCCTTGGTGTTGTGTGCACCATCGCAGAACTGGCAGCTTTTCAATCAATACAATTTAGTATTTTTGCTTCACACCGAAACAAAACAAACATCACATTTTGTTCACGTTTATTGGTGCAGCAGCAAAAACAACTTTTAAAGACTGCTAATCTACAAATGAAGCTTTAACAAACAGAAAATGTTTTAACACTACACCTGTATTGTTGAGAAAGTTAAATGTCATGCAATTAGGGTGCCATATGCAAACTTTGCAGTTACCCAGAGCATAAAAACCAAGTTATTACACAGCTGATGCTTGTAAATGTAGTTATCCTTGGTGTACTTAACTGAAGTTCTGTACAATAAATGCAACTTTTACCTGTCATTACAAAACTCTTTATTGCAGTCAGTTCTTATGTAAAATGTGTTGGATATTCAATTAAACAAGCTCTTCAGAGTGGATGCATTACATAGAGGCCAAAACAAATATGGATTATACGGGCTTTTTTCCCATGTTTTTGTGACAGCATTACCCTGGAACTTTGGGCCTAAAACACGAAACATCACGAGGCTCATCCACAGAAATAATCGATACCAATTTAAAAAAATCCAAAGGAACAGTAATTATCAGTCTAAATTTAGCACAATGCTTATCACAATAGAAATTAAAAAAAGTGACACATTTGTATCAGGATCAAGACGTTAAGCAGATTTCAAATATGAACCTTGCTAGGTCTATTCCCGATAGATTACTCGGCTCTACCATCACCACCATTATACGAAGTAGTCAAGCTCAGTACGGATGTACATGTTCTTCTCGTCGTTGACAATACGTGGGTAGTGTGCAATAAGTGCGTCCTGTGAGCCAATGTAGATGGAGTTGTAGATTTTCCAGTAAACGTCACGCACTTTCCGCGCTGGATGGAACAAACCCTGAAAATTCACAAAACAATAAAAAGAGCACACGATTTATGATTATTGCTACTCAGAACTTAGGTATCTATAAAATTGTAATTTTAACTTATTGTCAAGTACACACAAACATTGCTAATGTGCTGCTTTATTATCCAGTGAATTGAATAACAATATTATACAACTCCTTAAATATGCTGTTACCTGCAGGGCATACTGCAACAGGCGGCATGGTCCCAGAGATACACGCATGCCTTCCAGAGCGCCCATCACAGCCTGGATCAGATGAGGAGACGTCTCAAATATGTTTGGCCACACGAAGTTGAGTAGGTGGTTGAGAGCGTCCTCACATCCAAATCCATACACACCCAGTGACATGTGCTGTACCACTGCACTGGCTGTCTGCCGGTGCACAAGGTCTCTGTGGGCAGGCGCACAATTATCGGCATCAAGGTTAGGTTACAGTGACTTAAGCCGCCTCGATACTAGTAAGGCATTAGAATAATAAAGAACCAGCATTATTGCAAGAGCATTTAAAGTTGCTTGGGGTCATAAGTATAATTATGGGCAGTTAAATTAAAGGTTGTTTTTACGGGGTCTGAGGGTTACTAATATTGACAAACTATGGCCCAGTACACAGAACATGACATACACAAAACAGTATGACGACGTAAGTTTCTCCTTAAAATAAAAGGCAAACGTTTATGCTTAAAACTGTACACATACAGCATAGATAAAGTCCAATACCCCAACATTTAAAGCCACCCATTATTGTTTCACTGGTCAACAGGTAATATTTCAAAATCAGGACATTTCGTGCCTACCTGTCCATGAGGGCATCCTCTAGCAGAGGTGTCACGGCATAGATGTAGTCCTTGCCCATCTCTCCAATGTATTCAAACAGAAAGGAGAGCGACTTGAGCACACCGTTCTGCACGTTGAGCTCGGGCACGCGGTACTCATTCATGAGCGCTGGCAGCACTGTGAAGGGAGAGCAGGTCTCGGCCACGATGGCGATCGCCACGGTTGTGCACACGCGGTTCTGTCGCTCCTGCACCTTCAGGTTGTTGAGCAGTGTGGCCAAAACGTCATGTGGCCTGTAGGGCAGAGGGTATTAGGGGATAAGGTTCAAGATAAATCTCAAGATGTAGTTCTATGATATCTGCTTCCTTGAGCTGTTCTCAAAACAATGAGGGTTTTTGCACTGCTCTTCGTATTGCTTTATGAAAGATACAAATGAATAGCCCCGTCGTCTCATGACATTCACGATACATTTTGGAAAAAGGTAAAAAAAAACCTCAAGAAAACATGACCATCTCAGCACACAAAGTCGATTAATGCACAGTTTATAAAACACTACAAAACAAGGGTTCACTGTAGAATAATCATTGTCATTTTAAATAACTTTCTGCCAGTTTAACACAAAACTTAAAGATTTACAGCCCTTTATCAATCCACTGCTGAATAATTGCTACTCATGCCTGCTATTGTGGTTGTATGCCCATACCTGAGCACACTGGTCAGTGTGGGTTTGCAAAGGGGGAAGGGTGGTACAGGGCCGGTTCAGATAACAAACACCCACTGATGTTAGTGGTGACTGGGAAATTAATTCAGGGTCCCCAAATACGTAGCACAGTACAGTCACCAGTGTAGTGTCGTGAATACAGCCACTACTGTAAGTGTAAAAACAGGTAGATGTCTCTGTGGGTCGCGCCAGCCACAGTGCTGGAGGAGCGCCGGGACGAGCTAAGGGCACGTGAACGGAAGTGGGCCTCGATTGGAGGAGTCAAGGGCACGTAACCTGAAGCGGTGTCTCGATTGGAGGAGTTAAAAACACGTGGCCGAAAGCGGGGGCGCCGTCCTTGATACAGCAAGGGGTGGGGCCGTGGCCAAGGGGGAGCGCGTTCGGGGATTCGGGGCTCGTTCGTGGGGATCAACTCAAGGGGTCAACGTTCTTCGCTGCTCGTTCGTCGTAGAGCAGGGGTCGGGAACGTCCGGCCCGCGGGCCATATAAGGCCCGCGAAATCATTTAATCTGGCCCTGCCAAGGCAACCGCACGACTCGAAATTCAATAAATCTGGAAGCTTTTTTCATAGCAACATAAATTTTATTTTGTATGGCCCGCGAATGATGTTATAAATATCCAAATGGCCCTTGGCAGAAAAAAGGTTCCCCACCCCTGCCGTAGAGTCTTAGCTGGGGATCGTGAGTCAGGCAGCGTATGTGCGGGCTGGCCCGTTCGTTCAGCTAACTCACACACATAGCAAACAGTCTAGGAACAGTATAGCCACACTATAATGTACAACTCAGTGATTAGTGAGGTTGTTTATTAAACGCATTGCCTCAAACAATAGTGTGTGCCTCTGTAATAACACACTACAAATGCAAGTGTTCCACCCCTAGAATGGACGATTAATTATAATTTACACATGCTTCAGCAGACTATATAACACTGGTGAGTGAATGCCCAAAGTACAGCACACTATGGCTGCTGGTCACTCACCCAATGGCCTTGGCGATGTAGCCGAAGGTGTTGACAGTGGCTCGGCGGATGGCCTTCTTGTGGGCCTTCAGCAGCTCCAGCAGCTCGAAACAGATCCTCATCCACTCGCGTGCAGACACGTACTCCGCCCCCCTGAGACCCACAGCAAAGTGAATTAGCTACTAGCAAAGTGATGCACGTGCAACAAAGCAAATTATCCACATATTTTGCTTACTAAAACACTGAATGAGAAATTGTGAAACATTATCTGGAGACATCAACGCTGCAATCAACGGAGCAATATAGCCACTCTTCATGTTGCTCGAGTATTAACAAGAAATTAGCAAACCCCAGTAAACGCAATGGCCGCTTATAGAGCTCAAAAAAGCTCGGAGGATTAGATGTTTTATGAATTTGCTGTGAAACGTCATGCTGCCCGGAGGAGGTACCTGTCGGCAATGCGGCCCACAAGGTCAATGCAGTTCTCCTGCACCTTCTCGTGTCGGTTCTTCAGGATAGGGGTCAGACGAGGTAACAGATCCTTAATGGGGGGCGTCATCTTATGCATACCTGTAGGACAGGAAAAGCAAAGTGGCTGTGAAAACATTTAAAAAGAACCTGATGTAAAAAACACGAAAATCTATTCATTATAGGGGTTAGGAATAGGGTTTTTCCCCTTTTTTCTGGCAACAAAACTGAAACCTTTTTACAAGGATTCATGTCTGCATTAACCACAATACCTGCAGTCAAAATGCAAACAAAAAACATACTATGATAATATATGCCAAAAGGCGTTATCTGGTCGAGCACCAATTGGTCGAGGCTCAAAAGAAAGCCATCCCTTGGTGTGGACCAATCAGTTTAAAGGACAATGCACATATTATCATAGTATGTTTTTTGTTTGTATGTTGACTGCAGGTATTGTGGTTAATGCAGACATGAATCCTCGTAAAAAGGTTTCAGTTTTGTTGCCAGAAAAAAGGGGAAAAACCCTATTCTTATATTTTGGTACTGGCAAAGGAGGTCTAATGATGATTATAGGGGTTGTTTTCCTCATGTCCAATTCACTTGGACAACTTTACAAAACACATCCAATGTTTAATGTTTAGGTCTCAAAACTAAAAACAGGACACAGTGTATATTTTAGTGCTGCGTTTCTGTGTCCAGACAAGATGACGGATGATTCTTATGAAACGTAACTCAACAGCCACTCAATTAGGTAAGTGTAAACTAACCAATGACGTTGACAATGCTCTTGAGGGCTCCCAAGATGCTGCCCAGTACCTCGGGGTACTCCTCTCCGAGGTACTCATAGAGCACCACTCCCAAGTGGCCCATTAGTTTCTCCTGTAAGCACACAAACCCGGAATGTTAAGGCATACTACAATGTGCCTGAAATGTTATCAATCATAACTTGTGTAAACACATGTGCATAGTTGAATACGTCTTCTGTTTATCAACTGCGGTCATGCACAACCAAAGACGTTTGAGTTAAACTGCAAGACATATATAGACATTGCACTCTCAAGGGTGCCGTCTCCTTCTCACATGACAGGACAAAAATAACACCCATTTTGGCTCTGGCCCTCACCTCCTGGCATGTCTTCATGACAACAGCAATGCGCGAGATAAGGTCGGCGGCTTGCTGCCGCACTTTGGCAGACTTGTTGTTGAGGCGCCACAGCACAGTACCACAAATCTGGGGGAGGTAAGGCTTCACGCGCTTTGCCAGGGCGTTCACCACCGTGCCGAACCCATTCAGCATCACCGAGTCCTGCAAAACAACCACAATGAACAATGATCCATCAACTGCTCACGAATAGTTCCACTGCTTTTTTTATTATGCACTGACAATGCATGTCAACGGAAACATATTTTCAAATGTGAGATCTTAAATTTACACCTGTCACAGCTTAGTAATCAATATTAGTTATTGAACTTCTTGAAGAGATTGCTTATGTTTGCAATATAATGGTATATTAGGAGTGAATTTGGTCAAATGTTCAAGTCGCCCAGCTTAAATATTACAGCATATCATGAAATATAGCACTTTGTTCTGTCAGGTTTCCTTCACAAGAGACAATAGCGGTCACTTGAGCTCTGTATATGCTTCAATCACCGAGTGACCAGGTGTAGGCGGCAGTGTGCGTGTGGTGCTGATGGGAATGTGGAAGACCGACCTCGGTAGTCTGCTCCTGAAACGCATAGAGGATGCCGTCGATGAGCTGCTCCTCCAGCTTGTGGTCGATGTCGGCTGCACCCAAGTTGCCCATGATCTTCTCAATCGTCTCCATTACCATCTTGCGGTACTGCTCTGCCTCATCCTTCAGGTCGTCCACAATGCGCTGCACAATCTCCGCCGCACCCACCTTATTGGCCAGCTCCACCGTCGTGTCCACCAGCTGAACGAGGTCAAGTGAGCGCGAAAACACACAAACTAAGTTATAAAATGGTACCGTCATTAAGATAACACTTGCAAAAACAGGCGATTAAAATATTTACAAATCAAACATTAACAAGAATTCATGCAGTTTCTATAATTTTTCTGTGTTGAATAAGTAATTAAAAAAAATAGATGTGTTTCATTCTATGTTTGCATTCTGAATTGAAAATGGTTAAAGGTACCAATGATACGAAATAATATTTGTTTTTAAAATACAATGGCTAAGGAACAACATATCACTGGCTCGATGGGTAGTGTTCCCCTCACACGCAATTACCTGTCTGTAGTTCCTCCGGTCCAGGGCCATGCGGTGCTGCCAGAAGTGTTTAAAGAATGGTGGCAGAATTTCTGTCTTGATGTAGGTTGACTCAACACCATCTGTGGCGCAACACTGCTTCACTACCTGTGTTCACATGAAAATGAAAGCATGCCTTAACGGACATTTGGCCAGAAGGAAAGCTGTGTGTGTCAACTCAAGATTTTTAAAATATTCACATTTGTCTAATATGCATTCACAATTCTTCTTGAATGATATGTAATGTATTCATGAAGCTATTCCCACAAATTACAGCAATGTGTGACAATGACCAGTGTTGGATTTAGAGTTATAAATCTCCACGTTACGGATGGAACTCTTGGAACTAGCTGGCATTTTTCCCCCAGACACAGCCAAAGATCAATCACTGCAAGATAAAAGCATGGTGGCTTTTCCACCATGACTCGTTAAGACAAAAAAAAACTGTAAACCTGAAGCCGAAATGCTAACCAAATCATCATGGAGTACAACACATTTGAAGATATGGTTTTTAGTTGACACATCATTAACATCACAGAAAGGTATTCAGTTTTAAAGTAAAAAACAGTAATTGTGATAGAAAGATCAGCATTATAACCTACATCGCCACATCCTAAGAATTACATAATTGTGCTTTAATATATGTATGTTTTTGTGATTACAGGCTTCACTTATTTTTTTACCTATTAAATTTTCAAATTTCACAGCATATCCTCTAAATCAGATCGAATTAATGCATCTATGTCACAGTGGGTTTCTGCTTTGTAGTGATGTGAATGAACTCAGTAGGCTGCTTAAATTAAATGTATCCTTGGTAAAACATTACCTCAACCTGCAGTTGCTAAAAAGTTAGCTAAAAAACAGTCTCACGCGCACATCACAGCAGCATAAACAAGGTGTTTTGTTACATTTTCCTAGAAAAGCAATATCCTTATACTCTCGAGTCTCACATTAGCATTAGGTTTCCTGTTACAAAGTGGGTCTTCAACAAGTTCAATCCCCCACACATCCCGTTTCAAAAACAATGTATTGTTCTGCAAAGCACGTCTGAACATACCAATGATACTTGCTTTGGCTACTTTATATAAAAATATATACATTGCAAAACTGAATTGTCCCACAGAAAAACTAATTATGATCAATTACATAATTATAAAACAGTACATAATTGAGCAATGTGTTTTTTAAACAATATTTTTTCTCCTGTGTGATTGGGCTGGGTGTTTTTTTTTAAACAATATGTGACCACCAGTGACCATGCCTGTTATTTTCCATATATTGTATATTGAGTCTCTGAACGGACAAAAAAAGCAGACTGTCTCTCGGTACCAACAACAAGAATGCATACTTGCCTTTAGGACAATCTTTTTCATCTCCTCGTCAGGAGACTGGAACTCTCGGATGAGGATAAGCATCACCTCCCTGGTGTAATAGTTGGCATACTCGGCATCCATCAGGGGAATAAGGTAACCGATGGCTTTGAGGAAGGCAGCAAGACCCTACACACAAATAAAATGTGCATTGCTTCCATTATTACTTCCTTAAAGCATTTGACATTCAAAGCTACATTCAGTAATAACAAAAATATGGACAGTATAGACAAAGTTTGCAAATATTATAAAACCAAACTATTTGCCCTAAAAATATAGGCCATATAAGAGAACAATGTAAGAACCTAAAGCTGTTACTTAAGATGGCAAATGTAACTATCTCACTATAACATTCAGTTATGTCAATAAAATACTTTGCTTATAGAGCACACTCACATCAGTGAATGCATTTCAGGAGCACCTTGCATAAAAAACAAAGCAACGTACTCGAGGCAATGTAAATCAAAAGTAATAAAACCAACGTATGGAGTCATACCTTTCCTCTGTGTTGTCGGATGCCCTTCCAGAGAGGTTTGAGAACGGAGTCAAAGGATTCAATGCCGTAGGGAGTGGCAGCTTCAGCCAAAGCAGCCAAAGCCAGGGCAGTAATGGTTCGCACCTTCTGCTGCTCATCAACTAGGCCTGCAAGCACAGATAAGTGTTGATGTAAAATGTTTTACGTGCGTTCAGTTCAGTGTAAGCAGATATTCACAGAAACACAGTCTGGCATAATAATGCGTGAACTAAGTCACACTTCTAAATCACTGTCCTTACACGTAAAAATGAGTAAGTGTTTTTACAGATCACTGGAATATAATCGACACAATTACACAGCAATCAGCTGATAATGTATCTAACCAAACTAACACTACACAAATTAACAAATTTGCGAGACTAACAAACAACTCCCAACTAAAAATGAACATTTAATAAACAAAACGGTTATTAACATGATTTACGTTGAATTATCCAGCGATATGGTTTCAGTCTTGTCTAAAAGGCTTAACTTTGCTGTTGCCCCACGTACAATCCCTGTCGATGAGATCATTGCTGAAGTGGAATCAGCAGTTAGACATCTCCCTCAATCAAGCTGAGATAACTAGCACGAGGTTGCCAAAATTATTGAGAACATAAAAGTGCCAAAAACAAATATTAACTTCAGTGAAGCAAACGCCTTAAGAGAATTGAGAGCAAATAAAGATATCCAAATTCTTGCTGCTGATAAGGGCTGATGGACTGCTGTGATGCCCCATGAGGACTATGATAACAAAATCAAAGATTCACTCGATTAAGGTACCTACCTTAAAATTAAACGAGACCCAACCAGCACCTTGGAACGTAAAACAACGGCAATCATTGCCAAGTCATCAATTTCCAAGGAAGAGCAATACCTGATCAAACCAAGGGCATCAAAACCACCAAGCCGTTATGGGCTACCAAAAATTCACAAACCTGATGTCCCATTAAGACCCATAGTAAGTACAATAGGCTCTGCCACGTACAAATTAGCACAATACGTGACGAAAAAATACAGCCCTACATCGGTAGGACCTATTTGTTCATCAAAAACTCTGAACATCTCGTAAATATAATGAAAGATATTAAGCTTAATCCTAATGATATTCTCGTAAGTTTTGATGTGACCTCTCTGTTCACGAGGGTTCCGGTCAACGAGTCAATTAAATTATTCACTCTGGTAACAAACAATGGTTTAGCCAAAGATATCCCAAGACTAACTGAACACTGTCTAAATAACACCTACTTATTGTGGCAAGGTGACTTCTAAAAACAAAAGGAAGGAGCAGCAATGGGCTCTCCTTTGTCTCCTGTGATAGCGAACTTGTACGTTGAAGATTTTGAAACAAAAGCAATAGCTTCAAGCACACAAACCATTTGCGTGGTTTAGATATGTGGATGACACATTGGTGGTCTGGACACACGGCAAAGATACACTGAACGCATTTATAAAACCCATCCATCCAGTTCACCATGGAAGTGGAAGCTGACAGAACTATACCATTTCTGGATATTTTGCTCGGACGGGGTAGAAATGGTAAAATAACAGTGTTTACCGAAAACGCATACTGACGCCTATCTGAATGCAGTCACACCATCACCCTGCAAAGAAATCTGCTCTAATCAAGACGCTCATTCATCGAGCTAAGAAAGTGTCAGATGGTGAGTCTGAGAAGTGAAATTCAACATGTTAAAGCGCTACAAATGAACGGTTACAATGATGCACAAATCAACAGGGCATTGAATACCAAAACCAAATCAAATAACAAGAGCATTGAAACTGCCCAAGTAATTAAAACGATAAAAATACCGTACATTGTTGGAGTAACTGATAAAACTAGCCAGATGTTTGGAAAAACAAAACATTCGAGTCAGATTTGGCATGGTACAAAATACAGAATCTAATATTTGGTACAAAAGATGTATTACCGAAACTATCAACAGGTGTGTACAGGATTAACTGCACGTGTGGTAAATGTTATGTTGGGCATGATCAGCACGAGACTAAAATAACATCAGAGAAATATTAAATTCTCCCAAATGCCACTGTCAGCAGTAGCAGAACACACGTGCCAACAAGGACACTCAATTGATTTTGATGTTGAAGTTTTGTGCAAAACTAGCTACTACTGGCCAAGACTAATTAGAGAATCTACCGAAATTGAAAGAAATAAAAATAACTTTAACCATTCGGATAGCTAACGTCTTAGTGCTGCATGGAAGCGAATCATCAAATAATACATTATTTAAATGCTTGCCTACAAAGGGCAGCGTATTTCAATAGGGATTACCATTGGTAGGGCTATTTTAATCAACAATAGACAGGAAGGACAAGTTCAAAGGGCTCGCATAATGCGCATGCATAATGTATTTTGCCTAAGTAACCCCGCCCCCCCAATCATTGTGCAAGAGCACAGAAGGGTGGTCAACACATCTACGCCTCTATATAAAAAATCGAAACAGTAAGACTTCTCCACAAATCTGGCTGTCGCCTGATGAAGCTAGTTGTAATTACTGGCGAAACGTCGTACTCAGATTGTAAATGTTGTGGCTTGGCTCTCCAACACACCGGTGTGCTGTACAAGTGTTCTATTTACATGACAACCCTTACTAGTTGGCCATGTCGGGTGGTGGCGGGTTTTAACGACACATTTATATTTACGCGATCTAACCCAAAAACCTCTAATATGGATAATGCCGAATTACCGAATGGACCAACATAAACCAGATTATGAATTATGACCTACAAAAATCAACTGCAAATAAACCATAAAATTAACAATCAAGCTTGATATTGTACTCACCATGCTCAATGATCTCAACCAAACTGCGCAAGTGAGGCAGAATGGCACAGCCCATGAGGATTGAGATCTGCTGTACAATCTTGATTCCGGTGTGGCGTGCCTGCCATGACTTCTTGCTTTTGCACACAGCCTTGAGAAAAGGCAGCAGCGAGGGGATGCCGAGGGCAGAGGCGACGACGGCAAAGGCACGCGCTGTCGTGTTACGCACGTATTCATCCATGTTGTCGATGTCTGGACGCATGGTGGAAATCATCGTGGCCAAGCCGGCAGCCTAAGGGAGGCAAGCCAGAGATGTCATTCACTGACAAAAACTGATTTGGGGAAACACGGTGAGAAATACACAGCAAAAGAAAAACATTTTGGGAACACTGCTCATGATCTTCAATGTTTATTTTTCTCATAAAATGTGTAACATTAAATGTTTTCAAATTACTAATGCAGTTAACTCACCTTTGCTAAATTTGAAATGATCTCCCTTCCCTCCACACGAGCATAATAATCTTCATCAATCAGCAAAGGCTCAATGACCACGAGGATCTGTAGAGACAATGTCAACGGGTCAGAAATTACAGCACACTAACACACAACAGCACATACTTGGGGTGAGAACATTTTGAGGAGCGCACCAGGATCTGCTTACCTTGTGCACATAAGGGCGGACAAGGTCGTCAAGCTTGTAGAGAATGCGATCGATGACTTTAACCAGCAGATGGCGCTCCTGGTCTTCCAGTGTTGGAGACATGAGCAATGGCAGGATCTGGTTGAAGAGTGGACCTGCACCAAACTCACGGGCTTTGTCTGTGATTTGACGCAACGCCGCCTGGAAGACACAAGTTTTAGGGGTACAGGAATTAAAACTGCATCCTACACTGTTTATCACTCATTGCTTAGAGAAAACAGCACTGTACACATGAAAAGAAGTCACAGGGTGGATCAGTAGAGTAATCAGCTTGTAATCGTAAGGCTGCTTACAAGTTAATTCAACCCATCATACCTACAGGGTCAATACAATGAATACCACTTTGTGGGGAAGTAAAGTGGATAGCCTATGGATAGACTTGTCCCCCCATCCCCATAGGAATGTGGAATTCCATCACTCACCCAGAACTATAAACAGATGATCATGGGCTCAATACTCATTTCAGAAAGAAAGCATTCGATTGTATATTACCTTCCTCATTGGAGGCGTTCCATTTTTGATCTTAAGCAACAGCTTCATGATCTTCCTCTCCTTCTGCTCTTCTGAGCTGAGGGTAGATTCGTCCACATCGACCTGCAAAAAGCAACTGTGTTACTTAAGGCACAACACACAACCGAACATGTTTAACACTGTTAACAAGGGAACTCATGGTCAAAGGTCCTTTTGGGTCGACTTAAATAATTCACCAAAATGATTACACAGCAAGAATCTGGTTTATTTACTGTTTCTTATATCTACACCCAACTCACCAGCAACTTGTCAAAATACTGCATATCGTCAGGCTTGAGAAACGGAAGGTTGCCAGAGGGCTGATCATTGGCGGATTTGGCAGAGCGGTCGGGTGTCTGCATGTGGAAGCCCGTAGTGAGACCACCCATGGGGGTCGGGGTAGCGGTCAGCTTGCGGGCCGGAGTGCGGATAGGCACGTATCCTGCCGGAGGTTGTAACACCTAATCACACACACAAATGTAAACACAGTTAAGTATAGGTACATGTGTTGCTTTTATAGTTTGACGTGATAGGTGTGAAACCGTTCAATATTTATGACAGAAATACATTTTTATAAACTTGACATCTAGACAAGCTTTGCAGATTGTTGAGATAAATTAATATTTATATGGGAAGATTATTCAATGTTAGTTATGGCATGGTCAGAACATAATTGTTATATCTATGTTTAATCTTCAGTTAATACCAGCAAATACAAGTACAGCCCATTTGTCAATCCACGATGAGAATGATGCATTCCAGGTGATTTGGTCAGAGAAACAAGTAGAAGCACAACAAGTCTGTGGGTGCAGTGCATGCTACCTTATATCCCTCAGGGAACATGGCATCGAGTTCCTCATCGGTGAGAGGGCGGTTCCGCTCATCAATTTCACGCTCCCATCTCCAGGCCTGGAGTTGTTCTGGTGTCATGCTCATCAAGTGACCTGCACATTACACGTCATGTCAAAAAGGTGACGCAGACAAAGCCACTTGTGTTCAGAACTGCAAAAAGTTTTAAAAGCATGAATTAAAATGTTATATACTGTGACGACAGTATGGTGTGCTGATAAACAGAATACCTGGAGTGGGCGTGGCCATGCCCATGGCTGGGGTTCCCTTGGGTGTGATTCCACTGGGGGTCAGGATTGGCGTCTGTCCCCCCATTTGGCTCACAGGGGTCTCGTCCCAGCGTGACTTGCGCTTGCTAGCGCCAGGTGTGGGGGTCTCTCCAGCAGACTCGCCACCCCTATCGGTGCGTGGCGTCTCCGCCCAGCCACTCCCGTGTCCCGGGGTTTCTGACAATGACATGAACAACACATTAGACAAATGCATAAAATTGATCACAACAATAAACTCTTTTCATTCTGAGGGTAACATAATGAGGTTATTTTTTATTGATATGCAAGAAAGAGCAAAACATACCTCTCTCAGTACGGGGCGTCTCATCCCATCGGTTGCGCCGGTTGCTGGGTGTGGAGCCACTATGCCCGGGCGTGGCATGACCTGGAGTGTCCCTGCCTGGAGTAGCACTCCCACCAGGCGTGTGGCTTGGAGTGGGGTCCCACATGCGGGTGCTCGGGGTCGCCCCGGGGGTCTCGCTTCCTTTCGCTCGCCCAGGTGTTTCATCCCAACGGCTGTTTGAGGGTGTGTGCCCTGGAGTGTGTCCAGGAGTGGCGTGGCCTGGAGTGTGTCCTGGTGTGTGACCCGGTGTGTGACCCGGTGTGTGACCCGGTGTCTACAGCATAAGCAAAGCGAGAAGAACAATCATAAATAAGTGTCCAGCTGTATCATAACATTGTTAATAATTAAATGATTCATCGATAACTTAATAAGCATAAAAAGTCCTACCTCAGCCTGGTCCCAAGTAGACATCTTCTTTTTAGGGGTGGTACTGGGTGTGGTGCTTGGTGTTTGGTCAGCGGTCTGGTCCCAGCGCCGCTTGCGCTCTTTTGGGGCAGTTTGTGCTGCTCCATTCACAACCTTCAGCTCTCCTGCCTTGGCCTTGTCTGCAAGCTGCATCCTGATCTCTTTCTGTAAACATAAGTGCAACAGCTCAGTCAAAATCTTGAAATTCATTGGATGTTTTAGACCTGAAAATTAATTTCTAATAATTTTTATTCAACGGTTTTATTTAACTTCACTTGTGTTTGTCGTGGACAAATCTTGTAATCAAAATTTTGTCTACTTCCTGTTGTCCAATCAATTCCAAATTTTGCACACGTACTCAGATCCAGAGACAATGCATGCCTGTATCAAAATCGGCATCAAATCACCAATTGCCTCCTTTCAAGCAATTACATTTTTTGTATGGACTGTTTGCACAAAAAGTAGGCGCCACGTGTCTCAGGCGCCATTGACGTACTTTTCGACCGTTGTTTTAAAAAAGCTTTTTTTAAGGAGTTTATTTTTACGTAAAAGTGTGATTGGAGGTGAATACAGCGGATGAAATGTACCTCCTCTTTGGTAAGGTGAGCCTCTTTCATCACATCCATGTAGGATCTGGCCAATGCCTTGGGATCTGGAGTCTTCCCTCCTGAAAAACCAAGCACACGGGGAGCCCAGACACCATGAGTCCAGTACGGAAAAACTATTTCACTGGAGTGGGTCAAGCAAGATTGTCATTTATCAGGATTTAACACAATAACAAGTATTGTATCCATTCACTAACTGATAGATGTATCCATGTTCTTGGACCCATTGTTTTGGCTTTACAACTTTTACATTTTATATAACCAATATTATTGTAGTATTGAAAACTGGGGCTTTGCACTGGCTGGGTGCAATTTACAGATTGTATCTGTCTGAATGATCCATGTATAAATTGTACATTTAATAAAGCAGAGTATTTCAAACCTCTTTACAAGAGATACAATTTACCAAATTAATTATTCTACCACATCATACATGCATTACATTGGATTGCACCTAGCCAGCTTTGCATTGCTTCTCAATCAGAGCCACAAAGGTGGCACATGATGCATGACATAAATAAACCCTTGAGGTTATCTTCCTCTGCAGAATACGCACGGCATGATAGGTCGAGATCTTCACCACATCCCGGCTTCAAGGTGGAGAAGGGAGCCTAGAAAATCAGCTGTTATCGCATTAGTAACACTTTGCAAGGGCTAGAAAATAAATATCAAGTGACGTGACTGGGAACCTTACCTTGACAAGGAAAATACCATGTATCTTAATACAAGAATTTGTTTGATAAGAAATAGCACTAATTCTGAATTCACAAACTTACTGTAAATGAGGGAACTTACATTCCAACCAATTTCGTTTCTACAAATTATTTCCAAAGCCAATTTGATATCGTACTATACTTAAAAATCTTTTTTTTTACTTCAACACATGGCGTGTACATTGCACCTGTTCAGCCTGGTCTGTCAAAGCAGAACCGCTGTAGGAGAGAAATTGAGGAGGAGAGTTAGTATGGGCTCGTGAACACTTTGTAGCACTTTATCCCAAACTCACAAACACAGCCCTTCCATATGTGCTCCCAAAACCAGCCAACCGTGATGGCCATAGGCCACTTCAAATGTGAAAGTCACCGGAATGGATGCTGAAAATATGGCATCAATAAACTTGCTAAACCTACTGAATCTGACAAGAAAGGACAATCTGTATTTGTAAAGCAAAGCCAGCCAAAAAAACAATGTAGCTAGGATAACTAATTAGGAGACGACCACCGAATTGCACATCGCTGATCAATCAGCACAACTGTAAAATAACAGCCACTTATTTATCCAGGAAAGCCTCACCGAGTCTCAAGACTTTTTCAGGAGGGCAATGTATTCGGATCTTGGACAAACTTCTTAATGAGTGTTTTGACTGAATTTCACACTGAAATATGCTTCTTGAACATCTAATGCATGTTCTTCAGTGGCTACATCATATAAAATTCCAGAATCCACAGCCAGTGCTCAGGATTTAATTGGTATAAATCCTGTTTGCCCAGAGGTTTGTCAATTTGTTAACCCATTTGCTTACACAGAACACATAGCACAGCAGTTACACAAAACAAATAAGCACAAACATTATTCATTTAGGAGCAAAACAAAATAAATTTCCGTACCATCAGCGAAAGGGTCCTGGCGCTCGGGGGAGATGATCATCTGCCTTCTGCGCATGCGGTACTCGTCATCCCGGTCAGCAATACGAGGAGCCCGGTGTTCAGCAAATGGATCAAACTACAATACACAGGTATAAAACACATGTGAATTACAAGTAAAATTGTTTACAGAAAGTACTTAGCAGTAAACATATGAAATACAAATTAACGGACTGCATTGGCAGTAGTGTGCAGAAATGAATACACTCACAATTATAATTAAGTGCCTCATAAAATTTCCTAATAAGACAAACATAAGACAGTGACAAATATGGTGATTTTTTTGTTGTAACTATCAACTCAGTTTTACACGAAAGCAACAGAAACGTATGGCAATACCAAAATTTGTTCAAATGTATTATATACGTACCATCTCAGAAGCCTGAGGAATATCGTTGAGAAGTGCCGCAGGTGCATGGTAGGTGGCTCTTTTATTTTCGGGCAGAGTAGCAGAAACAGTATCCTCGTCATCCTACCGGACGATAACAATATTAATTCACATAAACCACGTAAGACTTGGTCAACAATAGACGATATATTAACAAAAGCTGCCATTCTAGTAACATAAATATATTAACAAAAGCTGCCATTCTAGTAACATAAATTAACAGTAGAAAATCAAATTAAAGCGCTGACGTACCTCTTCCACCTCATTGGCAGCAATAGAGGTCACGTATCCAGTGAAGCGACTATCACTACCACCATATATTTCTTGGTCAAAGAAGCCAGTTGAGTCAAGCCCAACGCCACTTTCATCATCCTTGGGTTGGTCATCGAGGGCTTTGCGCTTGCCCTGGATTTCACGGATCTGCGCCTCAATGTCTAAACAAAACCACACAAATCAACAAATAAAGCTGGTATTTAAGGCACGAGCATACATAAGCTACAGTATATGCATATTTGGTTGTAACATTGCTTTACTCTTAAAATATTTTAAACAGAAGGCATCCAAGTACATACACTGTATACAACTTACTAATGTACAGCATAGTAATTTACCAACCCGGCCCATGTCGGTCATCGGGGTTGTCTGACCATATTTCAACCACGTTTGTCAGTGCGGATTGGTGAGAGGGGGAGGGCACTTCCAGTTCAGACATTGTTAGCCGTGGCCGGAAATAAAACTCGGAATATCCGGTTTTAGTGCGATCAACACTGCGCCAACGTACTACTGTATATATACAAATTACCGACATACCGATAAAAAAGCATTATTACGTAATATTAATAAAGTTGTATTTAGTTACGTGTAAATGCTATATTACCAGTTATAACAATTGGTGCTTGTGCTAATACTTAAGGCCTTAATATTCAAATGTATTACACGCATACAAGTAGTATACTCTATAGCAACAACATCTTTTTTTAACGCCCTTGTTTGAACTTTTCCAAAATACCCTGTAAAATACATTTTAGGTTAATTTGAACATTTAAAATACTGAACCACATGAATATTCAAAAACGAAAATAATTTGGTTAAATATGTAACCACAAAATATCTTCCTGAAGAATTATAATTCATTTTACATTACTGTATTTACTCATTCATACGGGGCAAGTAGTGCTTAACAGCCTTCGCACAATTCTAAAACACCGTTTTTTTTATTAACAGATTGCAGCTTTAGCAACAAGGAGGACAAACAACTACGCCAGCCATTTCACAACACGAGTTTGAGCGTGGACGGAAAACATCGAAGCCTGTTATAAGCACGCTATGGCGAACGGGTCTATCTGGCTCGAATGCGGTTGTAATATTCCGCAGTCTATCCTTGTGAGAAGGAGCCTCTGTGTTCGGCGAGGGTTGCTGGTAGAACAGTTAAAAAACAGAGGGTCGCTGGCGATAGGGTTTGGCTAAGAAGTCCATAAGACGCCTCTGGTGGTCGACATGCAAGGGCGCCAACGAAACATCAGGGTGACGGGCGACGAGGTCTGTGACGGTTGAGGAATAAAAGCCGGAGTCTGGTCACTCGCAGTCGGAAGAGACAATGGCGAATCTCCCAAGTGCTCGGCGGAAAGGGGGGCCCCGATCAGGCAGCGCGCCCAGGCAACTCGCAGGCTTCGCCTCGCGACACACAAATCGCAGGCCGGAGCGCGAAACGGCTCAACAGAGGCGGCCGCCGTCTCGCAAAAAAAAGCTCGACGCGCGCGAAACGACGTTTGACGCAAAACAAAGCGATACGCAGCCAAGACGCGAACGGTGCGGTGAAGTTTCCTCTTTTTTTCTTTGTAACGATGAACGTGGTCCATTACCTTCGCGGGTTTTGGCGAGGGACGCCATTTTGTGAACGCGGCGAAAGCGAGACGACGTGCGGACGTGACGTAGCGAGCCCACGTGCGTTCTGAATCCCCAATGCACATGCGCGACGACGGCATTTCGAAGCAGCGTCGCTGCTGCTAATGCGGACTAGGGGTTTAAATCGCATGTTGGAGGGGGCGAAGTCAGGAGGGGAGGGGCGTGATTGGGAGGGGGCGAGGTCAGAATGGGGAGGGGCGTGATTGAGAGGGGGCGAGGTCAGAATGGGGAGGGGCGTGATTGGGGGGGGGTGAGGTCAGAATGGGGAGGGGCGTGATTGGGAGGGGGCGAGGTCAGAATGGGGAGGGGCGTGATGGAGGGGACGAGGTGGGGAGGGGAGTGGAGGGGCGATGGGAGGGAACGAGGGCAGGCGAGAGGGGAAGCGAAGGGGAGGGGTCGATGGAAAGGGGCGAGGGCAGGAGGAGGGGAGAGGTCAGGGGGCAAAGGGCAGGAGGTGGGAGGGGGCAGGGCACCGCGTGTCACGTGCCAGTCGAGAACTGCACTCCACGTGTTCTACTGCTGGATGATGGCGCGTGCTCTAAACGAGCCCGACTGTCGACGAGATACTTCGTGGTGAAAGTGGTCCAGAGTTTGCTGCTGATATTATGCACTGCCAGAAGGCCATTACATTGGGGTTGTGTTAGAATCATTTATTTTTGTATGCGGAGAGACCGATATATGAAGATCATTTATTTTGCTTAGCGAGCTTGGATCATCGACCTTGCGGCGACACGAAAGAGGAGAGGCGAAATGGAAATGTGTACTGATAAATGTTTCCACATGTATTGCGTAAATGGTACCGCTTGTTTGTCAATCCGCTGTTGGATGAGGACCTTGCCCGTGCAGGGCCGTGCGACCATACTTCACGTTGGACAGTACGGGTTTTGTGAAGACATTTTTTAAAAAATACAGCAATCATGAGACAATTGTCAATCCACTGCTGGATGAAGGTCTCCCCACACTGTCGGCCATGGAGATTGACCGTTCTTAACCACACCAGTCAATGGGGATTGTTGGTGCGAGATTCACGGCGATAATATCCACGGATAGGACCGATCTAGTTCAGAACGTCAAACGTTACAACTTTCACTCTCACACACGACATGAGTTCAGAACAAAAGACCACTCGCCAATCCCCTGGCGAACATTCTGCCACCAAATATCCTCAAGAGACGTGCAAACTGCAAGTGAGTTTGTATATTTTTTTGTGCCAACAAAAACCTACACATCATCAACCAAGAACTCAAGAGTGTTATCCCTCGCCGCCATCTCACGTCCCCCCATCTCCGTTCTGGGATCACCAAGTCACCCAACCCCATTTTGGAAGGACGCTGGCGAACATCGTGGAACAAAGCGGACGTCCATAATAAAACACCTTAATTCAAGAACCAAATATCGAAACCCATCTTTTCACAATTCTCGAATACACCGGCGGTGTTACAATTAACCGCATCAGGACGTCAGCAGGCCGATACGCAACATCTTCATTGATGGAAAATGTAAAGCCAAGCCACAGTTGTGCGATTGTGGCCACGCAACACAAAGTGTGGACCATATAAGTAAACCACTGTAATGATGTAATCTGTGCGCCCCTTCAACGGTAAGGAACAGCAAGGGAAATTCCACCAACTCTCTCTATACCCCCCTCCCCCCTCGTCGTGCCTTGCAGATCTCGATACTTGCCAATTCTTCCTCCGAACACAACGCTGACAATCACAACAAGCGACGGGATCGACTCGCCAATAAGACGGACACAGCGCAACATATTTCATTTACATAGTTTCATTTATTTGGTATAGCCCCGTGAGCCATTCGGCACTTGAATCGGGTGCAACTGCAACAAACAAAAAAAAACATGAACAGGAAAAACATCTTAAAGTGACTTTGTGACTGTGCAAACAGAAAATCCAGGGAAAAAACATCAAAAATATTCCTGAAATAGCACCGTACACCAACGCTGTGTGCAAAAAATCCCAGTGGGATGCAAGTCAAAATAACCACAAGACAACTAAGATTAAGGCCATCAGTCTAACTCCGTACTACAATAAACAAAAACATGGCCAAAACCCAAAAAAACGTTTTCGAAATCACCAAAATAAAAGCCATAAATGCAATGTAACAGTGATCACAGGGACTTTGACCGAATTTTTTTTACAATAAACTACATAAATAAATTATAACACCAAAATCTAGGGCCACATTTTAGGCCACTGAATAGCGGTGGCAGCTCAGGGAATCAAACGCCGGGTTCGGAGCGTCCAACCGGTTCGCAACAAAATAAAAACCATCCTCGCGCGCGTTAAAAGAGCCACTCGACTACATATTTGAAGAGGTGGGTGGGTTTTTTTTCATATGGGAGAGGTATTTTAACGCCCTTATTTGAATACGAATGAGGGCGTGGGGAAGAGGAGGTGCTTGATCGCCATCGTCACCGCCGTCGAGCTCACATGATCGCCTCCCTCCCTCCTCCTCCACCGCTCTTAGCTTCCAGCGGCCTCCTCCTCCATCAGCTGTTAATCTCGCCGGCGATATCGACACGGTGCCCAACCTCCGTCGTTATTACAGTCCGTTGTTATTAACGGTGGTGGTAGTCGTAGTCGTCG